AAAAAAAAAAAAAGAAATAAATTTTACAAAATTATGCAAGACTTGTACACTGAAAACTACAAAACATTCCTGAGATAAATTGAAGAATGCCTAAGTAAATGAGGACATTTATTATGTTCATGAATTGGAAGTCTTAATATGTTAATCCTCCCCAAGTTGGTTTGTGGATTCAATGCAGTCTCAATAAAAATGTCACTAGGTTTTTTTTGTTTGACTCACTCTGTTACCCAGTCTGGAGTGCAGTGGTGCAATTTCGTCTCACAGCAACTTCTGCCTCCCTCTGCCTGCCAGGTTCAAGTGATTTTCCTGCCTCAGCCTCCCAAGTAGCTGGGACTACAGGTGCGTGCCACCACGCCTGGCTAATTTTTGTATTTTTAGTAGAGACAGAGTTTTCTATATTGGCTAGGCTGGTCTCAAACTCCTAACATAGAGTGATTTATCCACCCCTTTCAGCCTCCCAAATGCTGGGAATACAGGCATGAGCCATCTCATTCAGCTTCACTAGACCATTTTTTTTTTTTTTTTTTTTTTTTGAGACAGAGTCTCTGTCAACCAGGAGTGCAGCGTCATGATCTCAACTCATTGCAACCTCTGCCTCCCAGGGTCAAGCAATTCTCCTGCCTCAGCCTCCTGAATAGCTGGGATTACAGGCGCCCACCACCATGCCCAGCTAATTTTTGTATTTTTAGTAGAGACGGTTTCGCCATGTTGTCCAGGCTGGTCTTGAACACCTGACGTCAATTGATCCACTCACCTCTGCCTCCCAAAGTGCTGGGATTACAGGGGTAAGCAATGGCACCTGGCCACATCCCCTTAATTGTCACAGGCCCTAAGACTAGCATAGGGATTTGTCTAGAGTTTGCACAGTGACATTATTCCATACAGGGAGCTCATGTGGTGTCCCGCCTCCCCCCATGCTGCCCTCTTCACTGCTGGATTTAAGGTCAGATGCCACACGGCCATATTTTGAGAGACCAGGCTTCCACCAGACTGTATCCTGTCTTGGGACCCAACAACCCCTGCATCTACACAACCCTGGAGCCCCTCTGACATCCCCCCACATCCATCTTTAAGGCTGCAGTGGCTGTACACAGGTTGGACGCAGCAGTGTGGTAGGGTGCCCTGCACTCTAGCACCTACAGTGTTCCACACCCAAGGCAGTGTAGTACACCTGGGAGGTTGCCCTGGGGACAAAGGGAGCCAAAGCGTATATCCCCCAGAGCCTGAGAGCTGCTTGCCTGGGGCTGCTGCCACTAATAGCAGCCCTACCCCCACCAAGCAGCAGGGCCACCACACACTTGCACACATCCTGAGGACAGGTTCTCCCTGGCACAGATGCCAGCAGTGGTGAACAGGGAAGCACTGGTGATTCCTAGGGCTCCACACAGTGTGCTTGAGTGGTGTCCACACTGCCTGGGGCCCTAGTCATCACCCTTCCCTGTCCACCTCTGCTGACATCTGTGCATTCCTCCTGGGGGCCTGAGGATATGCCCACCCAGTCTGCTGCCACCACCAGCACCCACCCACACATGCCACCTGGGGTTCTGGGGACTGGCCAGCCCTGCCTGTTGTAGACATTGGTAATGCCTGTGCATGCTGCCTAGGAACTTGAGGATTGTCCTGCCACTGCTACCCATGCCACACATGATTCCTAGGGGCCCAAGGACCCACACACCTGTTTGGCCCACCTCTGCCACTGCTGGCACTTGAGCAAGCCACCTGTGGGCCTAAGAATTAGCCTGCCTGATTTTACCTGTAAAGACACATAAAGACCAATAGTAACATGATGGAAAAAAATATTCCATGCAAATAGAAAATGTAGTGAGCAGGAGTAGCTGTACTTAGATAAAACATACTTTAAGTCAAAAGAGGGTCAGGTATGGTGGTGCACACCTAAATTCCCGGCACTTTGGCAGGCTTAGGTGAGAGGATTACTTGAAGCCAGGAGTTGGACCAGCCTGGGCAACATAGTGAGACCCTCGTCTCTACAAAAAGAAAAGAAAAAGACAATGAACATCATTATATGATAAAGAGATGAACGTAGTGAGAGGATATAACAATTCTCGGCTGGGCGCGGTGGCTCAAGCCTGTAATCTCAGCACTGTGGGAGGCCGAGGCAGGTGGATCACGAGGTCAAGAGATCGAGACCATCCTGGTCAACATGGTGAAACCCCATCTCTACTAAAAATACAAAAAACTAGCTGGGCATGGTGGC